AGGGAAAAGTAAGAGGTTAAAAGGCCTCCACACACACACAAAACCACCACGGCAAGGAGATCAACCCGTCAAGCCCGTCAACGGATGTGATGGTGGTGGAAGTCGAAAAGGGATTGGTATGGTAATTAAAACACTTCAACAAGCAAAGAAGAAAAAGAGAAGTGCTCGTTTAATGATATATATATATATATATATAGGTGTGCTTAGAATAGACTTGATTCAATAAACGTATGAGGCCCGGAGACCAAATAAATATAACTCTTGGGGCGAAACAACAGCAACTAGAGCACAAATCCTTGGGCAGGAAGAAAAGAATAGAGATGAATAGTAGATGCGTGCGTGGGCCCAAAGAGAGGATCGTGGCATTCGAATAAAAAAAATTACCAGCATTTCAAATGGACGCTGCCTTGGTGAAATAACATGTATTATTTCGCCTCAATTTCGCTATTATTGCTATTTGTAGATGAATGTAAATTGATAAAATCATTCTTATGTCGAGTTTTGATAAACCTGTCGTTTTTTTTCACCTCAATAAATCAACCATTACATCACATGAAGCACACATAGTGCCCAAGGTAATACAACAGAACTGTACTATTTACATCACTGCTCGAGAGCTGAAATGATTCGAGGAAGTTTTAGCAACAGCCCCGAAAGTAAGTGTGTACATGCACAAATGGCCATAAAAGGCAAACTTTCAGATCACCCAATAATTACTAAAGTTTGGTAGAATCCATTTACTACCCTTTTACACGTAAATAAGAAAAAAAAGAGAATCTACATGACTATATGTGAATATTGCAACATCGAAGATCCAATGTAAAAGTGGGCAATATGTAAGTCTCAACACTTTTGTGCCGAAAAAAGAAATTACCTAGTGTGGGGCGCTGTGGAGGGAGGAAGAAAGAGTGACGTGTGCAGTTGTAAAAAGCAGAAGTAAGCAGGGCTGTAAATTTCCATAGCCCCCTATTTTCATTATTTTCTTTTTGCTCTTCCCTCCTTCCCCTTCATTATGGCTACTGTTATAAGTAAGCCGATTACGGCGTGTTCAGCTCAGTTGATGGATATCTTCGTGATTCCCTCCTCCCCTCAATCCCTTTTTCACGAGACTTCAATCCCTCAACTGCTACGCTCACGTCCGTTTTCAGCAACTTCCTCGAGCTGCTGGCGATGGGTTTTGATCAGCCCCTCGCGGGCGAGCTCTTCGGCCGCATCAACCTCGACTCGCCCTCGATGTTCCTCCTCTAAGCAACGCTCCCTCAATCGCCGCCCCGCCACCATCGTCAACTCCTCCGTGAACTCCCACTCGATCAGCGCGAACTTCACCCGTTCTTTCGTGAGCAACGCGGTGCGATTATCGTGCTCTTGTAGCAGCAGTTTTCGCCCAAGCCGTGCGTATTGTTCGAGCACCTCTTTTTCCATTAAGGCTCGCTCGCGATCGAGCTGGGCGCGAAACGCGTTCATCGACGCTCGGCCCCGGGCAATCCACTTCGCATCGCGTTGTCGACGAATTTCCCGCCCAATTTCGCGATTCGCGTGGCGCCAATGAAGCTGGCCTCGAAGACTCCGACGAAACGCGTGTTGCAACACCCCCACCGCGGCGTATTGGACGGGGTTGATCGATACCTCATAAAGCCATTGAAGCTGTTTCAACCCGGGCAACCCGACGGTGGCGATCCATCGCGCATACCCCTGATCGATCCTCACGCGATGATACCTTTCATACTCCACGAGAAGCCCGATCGATGCACGAAGGGCCTCGTGAAAAACCGCCTCGCGGGCTTCGCGAAAGGCCGCCTCGCAGAGACGCGCGGCGTGGGATTGGGTTAACGCCCGGTGATGGGCGTCCAGCTCCCGACGCGCGGCGCGTTCGTCGTCGTCGATTCGCCGTCGCCCCTCCCGTTCGAGCCGATCGCATCGCCGTTGACGGCATTCGACGCCGGGATCGAGACCCCCCCCCGGGACGAGGCCGCCTCGGACGGCCGCGACCGCCTCGTGAAGGGCCTCCGCGATCCCGCGATCCCGCTGCGCGCGCCAAAAAAACAACCGCTCGAGGTGGCGTCGTTTGTGGGCCCATCGCGCGACCGCCGCGGCTTCGACGCGCGCGCGCGCGAGCACCTCTT